GTTTGGCGCCTTCTTTCGGAATGTCATTCTTGATTGGGGGGCTAGTTTTGCTCCCCCATCAAAAGATCGTTCATGCCAATATCCTATTATCAGTCGTTGCTGCATCAATTTCATATGAATCTGATATTTATTGAGTTGGGTGGGGGGGGATGAACCTTGAATGTAACTATGGCTAAACAAATTTCTCCAATACTTTGGGAATGCCATTCTTGATTGGGGTGCTAGTTTTGCTCCCTATCGTCAGACTTCTGCCCGTCGCCAGACTCATGCCCATCACCAAACTTTTTTCGAACTTCTATCCAATGCTAAACTTCAACCCATTGCCAAACTTCTACCCATCATTGTACTTTTGTCATACTTCTACATAATGTCAAAGTTTTTCTTATCGATGAATTTATGCTCAATGCCAGTCTTCTGCTCGTTAGTGGTCCTTCCGACCTCCCTCACTATATAACAATATTTTTGACCATTGTCATCTTCTGACATGTTGTCCTTTTAACCTCCATTATTGGCTAACTATGGTCCTTCTAACCTCTATCACTCGATATTGGTTCTTATGACCTCTGTTACCCGCCAACTAAAGTCCTTCCAACCTCCGTTGCCCATCGACTATGGTCATTCTGACCAAATGAACACATCAATAGTGATTCATTCTTTTTCCATCATGTAACACAATTTATATCATGTATATTTGTTACATTAAGCTAATGCCTTCCTTTCAATGAAGGCCCTCATTTATAATCAACTACAAATACTAGTGGATTCATTCAAATTGGGCTAGGCCCCATGATTTATCCTCTTTTTATGGTTTTCCATGTAAAAATCTTAATGAATTTTACGAATGCTACACCCTCTCTTTCTTATCTGATTGCATATTGGATCTTCTTGTAAATCTAAGAAAACAAACTTTATATGTCTCTATCACCATGAATATTCCAGGATGTAATGATTTGGTGTCGTTTATGGGAAAGGGGTTCCTAATTGGGGGTAATTTTTGCTCTATCCTCAAAAGGTCATTCATGTCAATGTTCTAACATCAACTATTACTTCATTAATTTCATAGGCTAACATCATCGAGCAGTACTCTGATATTCAACCTTGAATAGGTCATACATCCTTTATTGTTCTCTTGACCTCTTCTATATAGGTTAACATCATCGAGTAATTCTTTGATATATAATTTTAGATAGGTCATACATCTATGGTGGATTCTCATGACATCTTCCATATAAGTTACCGTCATCAAGTAGTGCTTTGACATACAACCTCGGATAGGTCATACATCCTTAGTTGAATCTCTCGACCTCTTCCATTTATGTTAACGCATCGAGCAGTGCTCTGACATATGACATCGGATAGGTTATACATCCTTTGTGTATTCTTTTGATCTCTTCCATATAGGTTAACATCATCGATCAATTCTCTAAGTGGACAACATTCTCCCTAGAATGATTCCATAGAAGCAAATGGTTGATAAAGTCATCACTCATATAAATACCTTTGTGCTCTAAAAATGCCTCAAAAAAATATGAGGGCAAATATATTAAAGCATGTATCTAATATGCATAATTAATTTAGTTTCCTCTGAGGACAAGTTCATTTCAAATAAGAATTGAGTTCATATAGTAATCTTAACTTCATATATAATATCATTAAAGCTGCATAGATTCCACATCAATTATACATTCATTTTGGTAAGAAGTTAAAATTAAAGTTACACAATAATCATCCATACAAGTTAATGTTATCAACCAACAAGCAACTTCAAAAAATGTTGAATTTCATTGGTGGATAATATTGAATTCTTCTCTACTGCACATTGAAGCATCTCTTACAACTTCTTCTTTGAAGAAAAGTTAAAGATTATAACATGATCATCATCAAGCCTCCACTCAATTAACATTGTTAGTGTGCCGCCAGACTACTAACATGACACACTGCTTTGACTCCTTCAATCAAGGATATCTGATGTCCACACACAACAATATACATGCCTATTGCCTTAGAAGAATGCAACTTTACCACCGCCATCATTAATCTTTAACTTGATGTCCATCATTAGTTCTCATTTTATATCAGCCCTCATCAGCTTCTCGCTCGACTATTAATAATAGCACACTCTCCAACTATCTTCTTCATCTCTCTACTTGACTATTGATCAATATTAGACTTTTACCCAATCATCGATTGTATCCAGACTTTAGCTCATGCGTCATCAAAATTAGTCATGTCTACTTACAATCACTTATTATCCTCTCAAGTATTATTACCACTAGATCTTCTCAAATCACCCTTAAGGTAGTTGATCTTCTTTTGTTAAGGGTTATCCATTGAGGGTATAAAATTTTATCATGACTCCTTCTATACTAAAGAGGGGCACTGATGTTTGATAGTGAATGTCACCTATATAAAATTATGGAATGCCTTTATTATAAGAAAAGAACATAGGAGAAAAAAAAGAAGGAGAAGAAAGCTTCTTCTACATAAGAGAGGGGTGTTGAAGCTTGATAGGGTATGTCTCCTATCTTAGATAGTGGAATGCCTCTAATGTAAGAAGAAAGCCAAAGGAAAAAAGAATGGAAGAAGGAAAAATTTCCTTCTATACTAAAGAGGGCCACTGAATTTGAATAGGGGATACCACATACCAAAAATAATGAAAAATCTCTAAAGTAAGAAGGAAGGGGGAGAAAAGGAGAGGAAAAATTCTAACGTCTACACAAGTGAGGGGCACTAAATTTAAGTAAGGGATGCCACCTATAAAAAATAGTGGAAGGCCTCAACCGTAAGAAAATTAGAGGGAGAAGGGAGAAGAAGAAAATAAGTAATTTTTCCTTTGCCCCAAAGGGGCTAATTATAGGACCAAAAGGGGAGAAATAGTTTAAAATTAAGGGGGGATATAGATGAGGCCCCCCCCCACAATCTAAATCTGCCATTGATGGAAAGTATTAAATTTGATTTCTAAGTTGACTTCATGTTATAAAATATCAATTTTATTTTATGTTTGACTGAGCTTGATCAATGATGCTAATTATGCTAAATCTTTATACTATTTTATCAGTATTCAAAACACTAACATAACTTTCTACCTTGTCTCTGCGCGTTCGTAGGGAGTTAGCCTCCTTTCTTTTGATTCTTTTATTGTTGTATTGGTTCGTCCTTCTCTAGTCATTCTTGGCTGGAATGGCGGTGAACCGGCTAGTTGATCCAGGTTTATTGGATGGATCTACCAAATCACATTCTTTTCTTTTCACCCTCTCAAGAATTTCCTCTATTGCAAGGTTTTCTAACCTTAAATCTTCTACTTTTCATGGTTTGCCATCGCTTTGGATCTTAGAGGATGAGATCCTAGCGCTTGAGGCTCCTTTTCAATACTCGTTGGTTGGAAAGTTGTCGTCTCATCGTCCTCCTCTTGATGTTATTTGCAAGTTTTTCTTTAATCTCAAACTCATTGGCTCGTTTTCAGTGACACTTTTGAATCCTTTACATGTTCTCATTAAGTCGGTTAATGACCTATACTATAATAGAGTTTTCTCTCATAGATCCTACTTTGTTAACAATTGTTATATAAAATTAACAAAATGGTCCCCTTTATTTGATACTCATGTGGAATCTCCTGTAATCTCTATCTGGATCTCTTTCCGTAATTTGCGACCTCACTTATTTTCTCCATGAATACTGCATGGTTTGGGTTCGTTGTTTGAATTCTTGTTGTCCTTGTAGACTGGATTTGTTCGCAATCAGGTGAAGATTGGGGCTATGAGGAAACTCATGTTTTTTCTAATTCCCTGATTGATTATTGCAATTTAAATGTGGTTCACATGAATACAGGTGGCTTCTCTAGAAAGATTGACAAGAAAAAAAAGGAATCGCCGTCGTGGGTCTTAATTTTTGTTGTGGTCGACTGGTCTCTTTCTTGGGTGTTGTTTCCCTTTGTTGCTTGGATGGTTGTTGTTTTTGGAGGTTTTTTGGGTGGGGGTCGTTTGTGGGCCATGGTACTTACGGGTTGTTTTCTGGCACTGTGTTTGGGATTGATGGTTTCTTTCCTTTGTTTGCTTGTTCTTTCCTTAACCTTTTTTTTTTACTGGTGTCATCCTTCTGCTATTTCTAATGGTTGGGCTCGTCTCATGCTGGCAAGCTGCTTCTACCTTCTATGGTTCTCCACTTGAATGACTACTAGAATTTCTGAGTGTTTTGCTTATTTCTTGCTCTCTTTATTTTGTACTTTGATTGTAATAGATTGAATCATTTGCTCGTAGGTTTTCCTTTAAATTTTGTATATTTAGAGAGCTGATGATTTACTAAGGGCATGTACTTCCTATTTTTATTAAATGTGTAAGCCCTTCCATGGGTTTTATCAAAAAAAAAAAAAAAGAAAAAAAAAAAAAAAAAAAAAAACCACTGTCTCATTTTTGGAATAGAATCGAGGAGAGTCAAATTGAGTCAGATAAAATTAATTTAAATTAAATTTTCTTAAATTTGAGTTAAATTATATTGAGTCTCCTTAAACAAGTTTTTATTAAAATACATTAAGTATATTTGATTGATTTAATCTAAATTAAATAAAACTAAGTTGAATTTTTAGATTAAATTAAATTCATTTAAAATTAATCAAATTAATTTGATTATTTTCAATGTTGATGCCACTACATTTTCAAATCATCAATTCATTAAGGTTTTGTTTGGCATAGTTTTATTATTATTTTTTAAAAGTAAATTTTTAGTACAAAATTTAAAATTCAAAAAATTTTTTTGCTAAAAAACTATTTTAGAAAGAAAAATTTTTTTTTTCAAAAGAAGTCTAAATCTTATAATTAAAATTTAATCAAAAGTTCCTATCGCTTGTTTGCACAATCCTTGCTTCACTCTTGAAGTTGAAGACTTCCAGGGCACAGATGGATCAATAACAGCCCTTAGATTGAAATTATTCATTAGTTATATTTTTTCAAAATATTTAAGCCGATTAAATAAATTCACACATATGCTTAAACTCGTAACTCAAAAAACTGTTAGGGGATAGTTTCCGTCAGGGACGAACGAGGCGTGTGATTCTTCTGGATAGATCAAGAGAGCTGCTTGAGGGTTTAGCTTGCTGGAAGCGAAAACGAGAGAGAGAGCGAGCGGAACCCGCGCGAAGGCTTTGTGTGATGTTCACTCGAAGCGTGAGATGGACGGAAGAAGTCTGGGAGTTGGGTCTCGTTTCAGAATCGGAAGCTAGGATTGGTTTCTTTCTTTCGAGAGGGAAAGAATAGCAGCTGGTTTTGGTAGGTCTTTCAGCCATGAAGGCTGAAGCTATATTTTGCTCAAATACGTGATTTACAACTTAGGTTTATTGGTTGGTTCAAAGTGATGGCATTTACTTAATGTTTATATGTTTTAGTGTATCTATTGCCAATGTTAAATCTCCCCTCCTAAAGTTAAAAGTTTAAAGAAAAAAACTATATTTTCTTGATATCTTTGGCATTCCTTAACAAATATTTGATGTTTTTTCCCTTGTGGTGCAGTCATGGCTTGTAAAAAGTTCGCAACTCCTACGGCCCATGGGAGGAAGAATGTTTTGGATGATTTTCCCAATGGGAATGCAGTGGATAAAGTAGAAGTTGTTCCACAGGACAAGGAACTGCCACTACTAGAATCCAGATGTTTCTTGGCTAGTTTTGCAAAAAGATTACGAAATTGGCAAATTGGTGATCGGGAATGGGCATTACTAAGAAGAACAGGAGCTCCATTTGGAAGTCTAATTAAAGACATTATCGAGCTTGATATGAATATGGAAATAGTGGATGCTTTGTTGGGCTTTTGGGATGAGGAGCATTGTGGCTTTTTTATTGGAGGGGTCATAATTCCTTTCACAGTGGATGATATTGCTCTGATTACTGGTCTTCCTAACCGAGGTCAAAAAGTAGTAAGGCAAACTTTAGCTTCGAATTGTTGTTCCGAATTTAGAAGGATATATTTGACCATAAGAAATATAGAGAGAAGTCTGGATAATATACTCAGAAACAGAAACGATCCAAATCCTGAGACAGACAAACAATTTGTTCAGCAAATGATTCTTTACCTATGGGGTTCTGTGTTATTCCCTTCTAGTTGTCGCATTGTGCCTAGATATATGGCTTATTATGTAAAAAATCTGGATTATATTGGAAGTTTTAATTGGGCTGAAGCACTTCATTCATTCCTTGTAAAAGAGATCAATGCAAAGTCCAAGTCTGTGAAGGAACGAAATGAGGGGAAGGACGTTGTAGCTGGATACATGAATGGTCTATGCTTCGTAATCAATGTCATTAACCAATCAAACCTTTCTATTATTTATGTAATGCACTTCATTCTTTACTTGAGCTTGACATGCATTTTTTAGGTATGGTTTTTTGAGCATGTTGATTTTGGTGAGGATTCAAAGCCTTCTAATCCAGATGTAAAACCAAGGATGCTAAAATGGGCAAAAGGATGCAAATTCTGGAAGAGAAAACCTTTTCTCCAAAGGTTTGGAGACATAATGGTGGACAAGGTGGATGTTAACTTCATTTCTGTAAACATTTAAACTTCTTTTTTTGCCTTTTCCTTCAAAAGGAATTTATCCATCTTATAGGTTTGCCATCGGCTTCTCCCTAAAAATGATGAGTTTGAACTTATATCCCTGAATAGTTTGGAGCAGATGTCAACTCAGATTGGAGCTTCTGATGATGTAGTGAAAGGTGATCCATCTTTGGTTGGAAACCCGGAAGTGGTGGGCTTTGACTTCAGAGCTGGATATGGGGGAATGGAGCGGAGAGATGGGGAGGTTGAGAGGGAAACATTGGAAACAAAAGTGGAAAGAGGCTACTCTTTTGAGATATCAAGCCTTACACAAGTTGTTCTTAAACAAATTGCACGAATTTCTTTTTTGGAGAGGAAGATTGTAAATCTAGAAACACTAGCTGTATCAAAGGGATGGGAAATAGAGGGAATGAATGATATAATATATGAGAAGGCTTATGAAAAAGTTGGCTATGACCTTCCTGGAACTCATCAGGAGTCATGCATTGAAGGAGACAAAGGCCATAAAGTGGAAGCGATTGGCCATCCAAAGCTCAGTAGCATTGCAAGGAATGAAAAGAAAAGATGTATACAAGATGGGAAAAGAAAGATGTTGAAATCAGCCATTGCAAAGGAGCATTTCATGCTCAAGAAGAGAAGGGACACTGATATAGAGAAAGCTTCCCTTCTGAGCGTGGATGTAAGAACATTTTGTTGTCTTAGTTGTTGTTTCTATTCCACTTGCTCCATGTCTTTTATCTTGTGCATGTATTGTTGCTGGAGCAGAGTTCTGCAATATTTGAGAGGAAGGACACTGATAAGCTAGTCAATCTTGATGACTACGCAGATCCTACTGAGCAGGAAAAGGTTCAAGTTCCTGTCATCTTTATATTTTTTACTCTGAAAAACATTGCTAAATTTTCCTAACATTATTTCTTCTTGTAGGAGGCTAAAGTTGCTCCTCTAAATTATGTTGGCCGTGCACTTTTGACAGAGAATGTTAGAAAATATCTTGATGCGTTTTGCATGAAACCTATGCAAAGGTTAGGATTGTTATTTTTTCGGCTCAGAGTACTGATTTTATAAGCTTTGGTGCTGGTAATACCTAGTTGATAATCAACTTTGTTACTGTTTTAGAGATGACATAGTGTTCTTTGATTGGAACATTTGTATTCAAAGGCATTCGATGGTGGAGTACCTCCAAGGTGGATACATCAGTGAAGAGGTTATCAAATATGAAATTTGATCATTTTTATGCATTCTCCTTTATGCTATGATTGTCTAATAGTTTTTTTTTTTGGTTGATTATTTGTAGATTATAGATGCATATGCCCTTATATTATATAAAGGGGTTAAGAAGTCTGGGAATAATTCTGCCAGTTTTTTGTATGTGCCACCAATGTTTTTGGTATGTGATAACTGTGGGACTATGGAGATCATTTTTTTAGTAGTGCTTTTGACCACTTATTAATGTTTGCAGGGACTTTATCGCAACAAGCTTGGTAGCTATAAGACGTTTATGAATGCCGTTGACAAGAAATCTCTGGAGAAAGTGTTTTTTTTATTTTTGCCATGTCATATATCAACTGCCAACCATTGGTTACTCCTTGTTTGCGATACGAAAAGAAGGAAATGGATTGGTTATGACTCATTGTATGACGCAAGACACAGGGAGGTGGCTAAAGATCAGGCAGGCAAAATTTTTTCTCAAGTTGTGTAGTTTAAAGTGCCAAGCCCATGAATATAGCTTAGTAATTAATTTTACCCTTACTGCAGATTATGATTTTAACCGAGTATCTATATCAAGATCATGGGTGGGATATTAGATCTTGGAATCTTGAATACAGGAGGAGTTATCCTCAGCAAGAACCTGGCACACTTGACTGTGGCATCTTTGTGATGAAGTTTATTGAAAGTATCATACGTGTTCCTATGGAAATTAATTTCAGAGGCACTGATATGCAGTTATTCAGACCTCAAATTGCTTACAACATTCTTAGTCACTGTTAAAAAGGTATGTATATATGTTTGTTTGAGTTTTATTCAAACTAATTCTATGTTGTTGAATGCATTTATCAACTTTGTGAAAAGTTAGCAATGTAATGCGCGCGTTATTTGTTAATATGCTATATTTTTGTGGTTGATGCTATAAATGAAAATTTTGTCTATGTATCTATATGTTTGTTGGAGGTGGTGGAGTTTTTGTGGCTATAGGAGTATCATCTTTTAGAATGTTTGTAATTACATCTATTCATTTATATCAAAGTCAAGTTCACCTTGATAGGTGTGTGAGCTAATATGATATTTATTGCACTATCTCATTAATGACTAGTCTACGTTTATTCTTTTTATAGATGACGTATGAAATATGCTTCCTTGTCACCAATCCTTATATATATGTACTGCTATATGTAAAAATGATCGTGCATAATTTATAATTGAATATCTGCTATTAATACATTATCAATTATAATTAATTTTTTTATTTGAATTTATTTGATCATTAGTATCTAATAACACAGTTCATTACTTAATTGTACTTACTGAGGAATATGAACTACTTTCTTCTATAGCCAATCCATGCAGCACTTTGCAAAGTAATCTGAATAGCAGCAGGCTAGAAGAAAATGCTCCTGGTTGCTGACATGAAGCGGAAAGATCAAGGTAATTAATATCTGCCATTACTTTATGAGTTTTTTTTCCTGCTCTTGCCGTATTGCTACGTTCAGAAATTTTATTGCAATATCTGTTGAAATATATGAATTTATTTTAATGTTCCCCTATATTTAATAGTACATGTGAACTTGTACTATTTATTTGTTTTTGTTAATGTCAACTTTGCAATTTTTATCACTAGACTTACGCCTTAGGTTGTTAACAAATTCTATATCTAAACTTAGGTTTGAACTGGAATTGTTAGACAATAAGATATTCTTTTGGATTCAAAGATAGTACTACAACAATATCAAGAATGGATGTACAATTCACTTTTGTCATACTTCTTGATCTATATCAAGAAGGGGAAGACATCTTTTGAGTACTTGTGGACTCCTTAAGGAACAAGAAGGGGAAAAAGAGATACTACGAAGGGATAAATCAAAAATTTTATTTCCTGAATTCAATTATAGTTTTAAAATTTTCAAATGAGATTGACTCAATATTGAACAGTACTTTTTAGAATCAAAGGAGGAAGAATAGAAAACACTAAGATTATGAGAAACTCAGAGGTGCTCTAGCCTATCATATGGTTAGGTTTTAATATTTTAGATTGAGATTTATTTTATTTAAGTTGATATTTTATTAGAAAGTTGAGACTTATAATCCCATCACCATATTAGAACAATGCCCAAAATGTGAGAGCTTTTGATATAAAAATTAGTCTTAAAACCTATATCTAAATTGTGTTATTATAAGGTGGAGACTTGAACTTGATCTAATGAGATGCAATGGGTTTTATATCTCTCACCCGTCAAGGGTTTAAGAAAGCTCGACTCTTTTGGATCTTTAATCCTGTCTGGGATAGGATTGTTAGTTAAACTCTACTTAGCACTTTAAAACTATGATGTCTAGTCTCATGTAAATGCAAGATACGATAGAATGTTGTTTTAATTAGAAATTTGGGGCTGACATCTAAGATGTCTTAAATAGCACCAGATCATGAATGGTAGATTATGCTTCTAAAACTAAATGTAATTAATATTTTTAGTTTTTATTTTTAGTGGGTAGTTAATACAATGCATACAGGTTATCTGTAAATTCTTTATGATTTAAAATTTTAAAAGGCTTAAAAAAAATTTTATCCTATGGTGCTAGCCTCTCCTGATATAGAACTGCATCGTAATAGGTGAGGTGGTATCCCCAGAACCGATAGGTAGAGAGGCACCTAAACAAGAAATGAAAATAATATGCTATAGACTTGGTGAGTGTCATTTACATCTTTCTAATCGTTTATCTTTCTATGTGATTTTATGAATTTTTATTTTTGTTTTTTTAACAATGTCGTTGTCGGGTCCCAAGTCCTTAATGAGAATAGTGGAGGGTTGCGTTAGGTAGTCGATAACCAGCGTATAACTTATCGAATAATCATGACATGAATCCTTTAAAAAATTATGTTAATGCTAGGGCGTCCCCTGGCGACGTGATATATGGCCTGAATAGAGTGACAAGTGCGCAAGGGCTGCTGCACCGGCGCCCGGGTGTAGTGTTAAATAGGCAAGGGTTTCCACATCAAGGACGGATGTGGGCAAAGAAGTTAGTCATGAAACTAAAATTAGGGTAGGAACTTGGAATATAGGCTTCCTTACAGGAAAATTAATGAAATTAATAGATATTATTATTCATAGGAAGATAAATATTATGTTGATTCAGGGAACTAAATGAGTTGGAGAGAAAGTTAAGGAGATTAATAGTTAGGATATAAACTATGATCTTTGGGTAGGAGTCGTGCTAGAAATGGTGTAGGTGTGATTATAGATAAGAGTTTTAAAGATAATACTATAAAAATTAACAGAATTGAAGATAAAATTATAGCTTTAAAGATTATTATTGATATTAAGATTGTTAATATTATAAGTAATTATACTTCTTAAGTAGGTTTGGATATGAGTTCAAAATTGGAATGACTTAGAAGAATTAATACAAAATATACCTTTTGAAGAAAGAGTTTTTATTGGAGGAGATTTAAATGGACATGTTGGTAGAGAGGTAGATGATTTTAAAACCATCCATGGTGGCCATGGGTTTGGAACGACAAATGAAGGTGGTAAGATGATATTAGATTTTTCTTTAGCTTATGACTTCTTAATAGCTAATACCTTATTTAAGAAAAGAGATGAGCATCTTATCACTTATAAAAATGGATATAGTAAAACGCGGATTGATTATTTTCTTATAAGAAAATTAGATCGTTTAGATTGCAAAGATTCTAAAGTTATTTCGAGTGAAAATTTATGTACCCAACATCGATTATTAGTTTTAGACTTTAAGATAAATGACCAAAAAATAAAAAATAAAGTAAAACGATTTTTTAGAATTAGATGGGGGCATTTAAAGAATATGAACAAAAGTATTTTTGAGAGTAGGATTTTAGATCTTAAGATTCTGTCTGTGCATAAGGATGCTAATATTATGTGGAAAAAAGTGACTTGTGATATTAAGAATATTGCAAAATATGTGCTTGGAATTTCGAAGGGAAAAGCTCCTAATAGTAAAAATAGTTGGTGGTGGAATCCAAATGTGCAAAAAAAGGTAAAAAATATGAAGATTTGTTATAAAATTTGGTTTATATGTAAAAATTTTGATAATTGGAAAAACTATAAAGAGGCTTGTAAGGAATCTAAGAAAACTATTTGTGGTGCAAAGAGCTTAGCTTTTAATGATTCATATAATATATTAGATACTAAGAAAGATGCACAGGATGAAGATCAAAAAATACTTTTCTTAGAAGATGATATTCAACAAAGGTGGATGAGGTATTTTGATAAACTTTTTAATGAAGAATGTGAAAATACGATTGACTTTACTGACTCTATCACCCTAAATAAAAATAAAGATTTTTGCTTTATCGGCGTATAAATAAAATCGAAGTTATAGTGACTTTAAAGAAAATGAAGTCTGGAAAAGCTATTGGACATGATGATATTCTAATAAAGATGTGAAAATGCTTAGGAGATGAAGGAATTTCTTAGCTTACTAAACTTCTTAATACTATTTTGAAGACTATAAAGATGCCAGATTAGTGGAGAATGAGTGTGTTAATTCCTATTTTTAAGAATAAAGGTGATGCACATTGTTTTAATTATAGAAGAATTAAGTTAATGTGTCATACTTTAAAACTATGGGAGCGAGTTATGGAGCGTAGCTTGCGACGTGATACTAATATTTCTCAAAATCAATTTGGATTCATGCCGGGTAGGTTTACTATGGAAGCCATACATTTATTGAGAGGTTTGATAGAGAAATATAGAGAGAATAAGGAGGATCTACATATGATATTTATTGATTTAGAGAAAGCATATGATAAAGTTCTAAGAGAAGTGCTATGGAAAGTTCTTAAAAAGAAATGAGTTAATAATGCTTATATTCAAGTCATTAAAGATATGTATGCAGGAGCTATTTCTTGTGTTCAAACACAAGGTGGTTTGATCAAGTATTTTCCTATTTCGATTGGATTACATCAAGGATCAGCCTTAAGTCCTTATCTTTTTGCTTTAGTCATAGATGTTCTCTCTAGACATATGCAAGAGGATGTACCTTGGTGTATATGTTTTTTCTTTAGAGATAAGATACGAAATGAGCATATACGTGAAAAGGTTTGAGTAGCTCCAGTGGAAGATAATATTGGAGAGAGTCGCCTTAGATGATTTGGTCACATTAAACGTAGGCCTTCTAATGATCCGGTTAGGAAAGTTGAGGTATTAGATTTGACTTATGTTAAGAAAGGTACCTAAAACGACTTGTTTAGAAAATATTAGAAATGATATTTCTTTATTAGATTTTAATGAGAATTTGACTTTTAACCGGGCACAATGAAGAAAAAGGATTCATGTAGCCGACCCCACGTAGTGGGACAAAGGCTTGATGTTGTTTATTGTTTGTTTTTAGTGGAAGATTTTTTTTCTTTCTAAAAACGAGATATAATCTCGAGGCTATCCTATGAAAGCATGCAAATGTTTGTTGCGCACCAGTCTATTTTTTATGTAAAACCACTGAATTTTACTGTGTATAGATCATGGGATTTGAAATGTCAGTCGATATTTTGGTGTTGGTTGTTTTATTCCCTACCAAAGGGTTTCAGTTTTTAGTTCTGATTAAAAGTTGTAATAATGTGTCTTTTTTATTTTCTAGTTTAAGTTTGCAACTAATGGCTTAATGTTTATAATGGAGTAAGAAAATAAAATATAACAATCTAAAACAAAAATAGTAGAGAAAGCAATAGTAAAGAACATATAAAAGCATGTAAACATCCTAACCTAAAAGGTTTAAGGCTAGTGGCCTATATGATATCTAGTGTGTGGCTGTGTGCTAGGTCGTCTATGTGGCTAAACCCTATTATTATTTATTTTTATTTAATGAGTTCATAAAAATTTATTTTACATTTTTTTATTTTTATTTATTTTTATTTCTTAGTGTTTTAGCCTATAAGAGAATTTGTTAAATTTAGAGGTGAAGATGAGCTATTTGTTAAAATCTTTGTTTGGTTTATTATTCATTACAGTTTTATGTATTCATAAAAGTTTATTTGGGATTTTTTTTTGAATTTTATTGGATTTTTAGTTGATTATTTATTATCCTTTATTCTCTTTCTACTTTTTTCATAAATTTTTTAAATTTATCTTTACATGTAAATTTGAATGTATTAAATTTTTGGATTAGATTGTGTTGGTTTTATTTATGTTATTTAATTTTATTAATTGGTTTAGGTTAATTTTATAGTTCATTTAGTGTTGAGGGTTATTTGAATGTGATATAAATCAATTTAGTTTAGATGTAAGGTGGAATCCCATTTAATTGTGCTTATCGCTTAAGCATATGTTGTTGTTTTATCTCTTATTAGTGATTTCGATGTTGGTTTATTTATTTATTTTGTGGTAGTTGTTGATATAGGTTGGATAAACTAAATATCCAAATAGGTAGATAATTGGATGATGAGAACTATCCTACCT